TAAAAAAATTAAAAAAAAAAAAAAGAATAACATCACTCCCTTATAAAATCACAAGTCGCGTTATCTGAATCTCCCTAGTGGCCTCTGATGCATTTATTCCCATTCAGTGTTTACCTTACTTACTAAAAGAAACATAAAAGTAACAACCATGTCATTTGAGTCTTTATCAACCCAAATACTAAGATTGCATGATTAGGCATATCATAAGCACTTAGTAAGAGTCTGATTGTTTTATCCCAAATTCTACTCCTAGGAATTTATATTAATTAAATATCTACACAAAAATCTACCATTAGGTAACAGGTTAATTAATTCAGTTCTACTATATGATGGCATATAGACCATTATTAATCATGATACTGGTCCGGGCTAATAAGTATACATAATGTAGGAATGGCATCCTGTTGAATTTTTTTTTAAAGATTTTATTTATTTATTTGACAGAAAGAGAGACAGCGAGAGAGGGAACACAAGCAGGGGGAGTGTGAGAGGGAGAAGCAGGAATCCCACTGAGCAGGGAGCCCGATGTGGGGCTCGACCCCAGGACCCTGGGATCATGACCTGGGTCGAACACAGACCTTAATGGCTGAGCTACCCAGGCGCCCAGGCATTCTGTTGAATTTAAGACGAAATCTGTATTCAGATTTTCTAAATGTGGAAATGTTCTTAGAGTCCCTGAGATTTGATTACCTTGGTTTTTCATCAGTAAAATCCAGAGTATGAAGTTCACCTACTAAATATTAATATTTTAGAGAAAGATAATCTCTATAAAAACTTAAGAGTATGCTATAATACTATATTAATGTTAGCTATTTTACTGAAGAACATTTCATGTTCTCTAATTGATTATTACAAAAGAAGCAATTCTAAAATCTCCTTTCTAGAGTAAAGTTGTGCTTCTCAGCTCTACTCTTATAACACGCACAAAAAAATTGAGGACCTTGGCTTGAGAATGCATTTTTTTTTAAAGATTTTATTTATTTATTTGAGAGAGAGAGAGTGAGAGAGAGCATGAGAGGGGAGAGTGTCAGAGAGGGAAGCAGACTCCCCGCTGAGCTGGGAGCCTGACACGGGACTCGATCCCAGGACTCTGAGATCATGACCTGAGCCAAAGGCAGTTGCCCAACCAACTGAGCCACCCAGGCACCCCAAGAATGCATTTCTTCTGAATAAAATATTAAGAGTATCTAGGAAAGAAATTTGCCTTTCCCCTAACTGCAGCAGCAAAAAAAGACACTTTTTTGAATCATAATTTGCTCAATGAATCTGATCTGATCAGGTGTCTCAAAAAGCGAGAACATTAATGAGAGGCTCAATACCTTTAATCTGTGAAAGAAAGAAATGTGAATAAGTAAAATCATTAGTTCTTTTCTCTTAGTACAATCCATACTTGGAAATGTTTTTTGGAAGACACCTAAAAAATCAGTTATTATTGCAAAATTTTGTAAAACCAATCTTAAATCTCTTTTTAAAAATTTAACCCTGGGGGTGCCTGGCTGGCTCAGTTGGTAGAGAATGGGACTTTTTTTTTTTTTTTTAGAGAGACAGAGGAGAGAGAAGAGAGAGCAGGAACAGGGGGAGGGGTGAAGAGAGAGGGAGAGCGAATCCCAAGCAGACTCCATGCTCAACGCAGAGCCCTACAGAGAGCTCAATCTCATGACCCTGAGATCATGACCTGAGCTGAAATCAATAGTCCGATGCTTAACTGAGCCACCCAGGGACCCCAAGCATATAATTCTTGATCTCAGGGTTGTGAGTTTGAGCCCCATGTTGGGGATTTCTTAAAAATAAAAAAAAAATCTCTAAAGAAAATCTAACTCTGAAATACCGTCTGTTTGATACTTGCTGCCCTGGTAATTAATTTAATGGTTATTTCTATTATCTAAAAGATGTAAGTATCTGGAAAGTTTTTCAAACCAGAAATTGTCACTTCTCTCTTCCACTCACATGCACATATAATAAAACTCATGGACTGGGCGCCTGGTTGGCTCAGTTGGTTAAGCCACTGCCTTTGGCTCAGGTCATGATCCCAGGGTCCTGGGATCGAGTCCCACGTTGGGCTCCCTGCTCTGCCGGGAGCCTGCTTCTCCCTCTGCCTCTGCCTGCCACTCCTCCTGCTTGTGTTCTCTCTCTCTCTCTGTCAAATAAATAAATAAAATCTTTTTTTAAAAAAATAATAAAACTCATGGACTCTTTTTTACAAACTCAGATTCTTATTTCTTTATGGTTTGACTCTTACACTTAATGTGATCATACTCTTCAAAACAAAACAATACATATATACTAAATGGAAAAAATATTAATAGCATAACTCTGGGTGATGGGAATGAGAGTAGTTTATATTTCTTTATCAGAAGTTCCTTAGGATACTGCATGTTTTACAACAAGCCTTCATTAATGCCATCACCAGAATATAAGGTATTTCAAAATATTTCAAAGACATTTCAACATACGACTAATGTTAAAATGTCACAGAGAGCAGCTCAGTCAGTTGAGCAACCGAGTCTTGATTTCAGCTCAGGTGAGATCAAGTCGTGAGATCAAGCCCTGGGTAGGGCTCTGCCCTCAGTTCCGAGTCTGCTTGAGATTCTCTCTCCCTTGCCCTCTGCCCATCCCCTACCTCACTCATGCTCGTGCACGCACTCTCTCAATAAATAAATAAAATAAATAAAATCTTTTTAAAAAATCATAGAGAAAAAACAGGAACAGGTTGTTCATTCTTGTATTTATGAAACCTGAACTCTATGCATGACATGGGCAATTATTACAAGGGAAACAAATTACACCTAGTCCTTGGATATCCTTTGGTTATATCTCCCCAACACTTTCATTACTAAGATTCTACTGAAAATGAACACAATACAGGTAAGTGGCACTTGCAGATTGCATCACAGAATGTAATAAAGGTAGAAGAGTGTTTGATAGACAATAGATGCTTGATAAATGTAGCTATACCACTACCCTTCCTCAATAAACAGTTAAAATATTTATGATGCACTCCTTGGAAAACTTCTCACAGTAATACCTTCTTAAGTGGGATTCCTATTTAATTAAAAATTTTCCAGGGTATTACCCTTGATAAATATGAATATTGCTTAACATTATAGAGTGTACATTTTCTTCTTAAGTCTAACTCTATAAACATAATCTTTTTTTTTTTAAGATTTATTTTAGAGAGAAAGAGCATGTGCATGAATGGGGGAGGGACAGAGGGAGAAGAAAAGAATCCCAAACTGACTCCCCCCTGAGTCGGGAGCTGTACTAGGGGCTCCATCTTACCACCCCCAAATAATGAGCCAAAACCAAGAGTGGGACGCTTAACCAACTGAGCCACCCAGATGCCCCTGTATAAACATAATCTTATCAGCTGCATAATAGTCAACCATATGGGTTAATCATTAAACATTTCCATAACCCTGAACATTAATTTTTCACATCATCAAAAACAGGAAAATTGTCCTAGATTCTAGACCAAAAACTCTGAATCTTTTTGGTCTACAATAACAGAATACACAGGAGGATGTATTGATAACCAAATGAACATGAGAATGTTAACGAGGTTTACCTCAGTAGTACCCAACATCCACTGGGAAGAAACCAGATCACAATTAGGACATTTCTGACAAAGGAAAGCATGCCCTAAAACCAGTAATTTTATGAAAGAAAAACTAGCCCAAACACTGATTTTTGTGGATATAGCAATTCTTTCCTCCTCATCAGCGTCCTTCTTTGGGGGAATGGCAGGACCAGGTAGGGAGTCATACATAGGACGCCAGGTTTTCCTTGGAGTACAGAATGACTTCGTTGTACAACATTCTCTAGGTCCACCCCTGCCCTGCTCACACACACACAAACAGATGGAAGTGGGACAGCGTGTAATCTGTGTAAGGTTTACAGCAAATTCCTGCGGTCAGATCTCTGGGAACGCCATGGTTCTGAGACACTTGGCTGCCCCTCAGAGCTCCCAAGTAAAGAATTTCCAAGGCGTTCCCAACCTCGAACTTCGTTCTCACGACCGTTCCCCGGTGGCAGCCTCAAGTAGCTGTGAGGAGAGAAGATGAAGGAAGCAGCAGGGAACCTAGAGCCATGGGACAATGACACAACAGAGCCACAACAATCGCCGCACAGGTAAAAGACACGCAACCAAATGCACATCACACGCGCACAGCTACGCACCTGTCTCACTCTCACTCCACAAGCGTACCCACTGTAACGGAGGCACATCTCGCAGCGCGCGCGCCACCGCCCCCCCCCCACCTGTCCCTATAGACACACACCACCCTTCTCTATGGTGCTTGAACCGCAGGCCTGAGATCACGGTAACAACTGGCCGCCCCTACTACCGGCTTCCACGCTTTAAAGACTTCCTCCCCCACCCCAGATTAACTTGGTTGTCCGGAGTCCAGCCTGTCCGCACCCCGCACCGCTTACATCCTGAGATGAGTTCAACTCACCGTGCGCAGCGCGAGAACCGCGCGAAAATGGAAGGGAAGCCAAAGATCCGCTGTGACCGCTGCCCTCTGGGAAATGTAGTTCGAACCTGAATGTCCGTGGCCGCGGTAGCTTGTGGGAAAAGTAGCCCGCATCCCAGAAGCCTCGCTAGAGCGCGAGTTGGCCGCCGGGACGTCCCTGCACGGGCACCCCGAGAGTTGTCGCTCTGAGGAGTGCCGCACGCGAGGACTGGTAACGCTGGAGGGGAAACAGGAGAGGGCGCGGTGCGCGCGTCCTGGTGGTCCAGATCAGGCTAGAAGGCAGGGAAGGGCAGTCCGGAACGGCGGCAGCCGAAACCTCAGGCCTGTGGGTACAGAGCCGCAAGGTAGGGTCACTGGTGCGGCCCCTGGACCATGGCGGGGACTCTGGTGCAGTGTTCCCTAAGGTAGCTGCAGCCTGGTGATAACATACAGGAAAGTAACTTTTGGTACTGCCAAGAATGGGCTGGTTTTCTCAACACACCGTGTTAGCTACATTTAATAATGGTGAGTAGGAGGAAAGTAATATTAATTTAATATTTTACATTAGGATATATTCAACGCTGACTGAGTAATTAAATGTAAAAGTGATCTTGTGATACTCTTGTATATGTTTGGTAATATTGGTTTAGGAATAGCTTTTCCAAGCATAATCAAAGAGAGAAATGTTATATAAATATTAAGATTTGACTGGATAATTATTTGTCAGACCCCCGATTTAGTTCTCCTTCAATATTGTGTTGGGTATTCTCGTCTTTTGCCTCTCCATACAAACTTTAGTATCATTCTGTCGATATCCACAAAATAACTAGCAAGGATTTTGTTGTTTAATGTTTTTATGATGAAAGGCTGTTGAGTTTTGTTAAATAATTTTCTGATCAATTGATATGATCGCGGGTTTTTCTTTTTTCAGCTCTAACCCTGTTTTTATACAAGAATCCTGTTGATATAGAGGAAGTGTAGGGGTGGGGAAGAATTTTAGGTCCTAGTCTCTCAGTTTGCCTGAGACCCTGAGCTGTGACCTGCACAAGTTCTTCTCAGGTCCTTTCCTCCCTCAACCAGGTAGGTGACACAGGAGGGCTGGAGGGGGCTGGGTATTTCCCTTCCTCCACATTGATTATTCTCTGGTAAATTAGTTTCCCTTGAGGGCAGGTGGACAACAGACTATCTAAAATATTTCAAAATGGTTATTTTCCCTTCCCCCTGCTAGAAGCATGAGGAGAATTTCTTCTTATCTTCATTCTGAGAAAGTGGTGATGTTCTTAGAGGTCAAACTCAAGAAAGTGGGGGCCTGTAGGAGTTTTTAACTCTCAAGCTGGTCCCCACTCAGTTTCCAGCAGTTCATCAATTCCTACCAGTCCCTGACTCTAGCAGCTTCTCCTTCAGGTTATCTGTGATTCTCTCTCCAGTTCTCAGACCATTTGTTTGCCCTGTGACCTCAATTCTCTGAGGGCAATAAAAAGAATTATGAATTTTCAGTTTGCTTATTAGCTTTTTTTCTTGCTTTGAGGACAGTAGTGATCACTTACAAGCTTTTTCCATTTTGGAGCAAAAAAGCAGAAGCCCTTCTGATTTTGTAATAGTAACTTCTTTGATGTGTAATATACATACCTAAGAGCACATATAGCCTAAGTACCGCTGGATGGATTTTCAGAAACTGAACACATCCATTTATTTAACTAGTATCCAGATCAAGAAACAGGACATTACCAGCATCCCAAAGTATGTCTTCATGCTCTCTTCTGTTTTCTTTCTCATTCTCCAAGAATGATCACTATCCAAATTTCTAAGAGCAAAGATTGATTTGGCAATCTTTTTATTATTTTATTTTGTTTATTTATTTGACAGAGAGAGAGAGAGCGAGAGCAGGAACACAAGCAGGGTGAGTGGGAGAGGGAGAAGCAGGCTTCCCGCGAAGCAAGGAGCCCGATGCGGGGCTCGATCCCAGGACCCTGGGATCATGACCTGAGCCGAAGGCAGACGCTTAACAGACTGAGCCACCCAGGTGCCCTGGCAATCTTTTAATTTATATCAATGGAATTACACAGTATATATTCTTGTATCTGACTTCTCTTGCCCAACATTGTTTGTGTGATTCACCAGTTGCATGTTGTTGCATGTAGTTCTAGGTTATTTATTGATGTAGGAAATGTTGGGGTTTGGAGCTGATGGCCAAGAAAGAATTCTTGAGATATCTTTGGTGTAAAAAGGTGGTTTTATTAAAGCATAGGCACCCATGGGCAGAAAGAGCTGCACTGGGGTTATGAGGAGTGACTGATTATATACTTTCAAGTTGGGAGGGGGTCAGGGATAGCATAAGTCTCTAAGGAATTTTGGAAGCAAGGTTTCCAGAACCTTGAGGAGGCTGGCTATTGTTAGGAAAAGGTCATTTATTATTGTCTAATAAAACCTTAGTCATGAGACCCTTCAGATGTATGTCAGTGAGCCATATGCTTGAGGGATGATTGCCAACATATATCTTGGGGGTAGAGATAAAGGAAGTTTCCAAAGGAATTTTTATATGTTAAATAAGATTTACTGGATCCTGAGGCACTGGACTAAGATTGCCTTTTGCCCTTAGCAAAGTGTCAACATCGAGGCAGCTGAGCACCTAGAGGTAGATCACTCTACCTGTTTCAAGGTCTTGTCAGTGGCAGTAAAAAAAAAAAAAGAATTTGTTTCTCCTCTGGATAAGTGCAAATTAGCAAACCCAGGTGGCCTAGTCACAGGGACCAACTTAAAACCCGCAGTGTCTTTTTTAGCAACATTTAAAAAGTCTCTTGCCCTTAACAGACACATGAAAAGAGGCTCAACATCACTCATCATCAAGGAAATACAAATCAAAACTACAATGAGGTATCACCTGACACCAGTCAAAATGGCTAAAATCAACAACAGGAAACAACAGGTGTTGGCAAAATGTGGAGAAAGGGGAACCCTCTTACACTGTTGGTGGGAATGCAAACTGGTGCAGCCACTCTGGAAAACAGTATGGAGATTCCTCAGAAAGTTAAAAATAGAATTACCCTATGATCCAGCAATTGCACTATTAGGTATTTACCCAAGGGATACAAAAATGCTGATTTGAAGAAATACATGCACCTGATGTTTATAACAGCATTATCAACAATAGCCAAATTATAGAAATAGCCCACGTGTCCATCGACTGATGAATGGATAAAGAAGATGTGGCTTATATATATAGGGGCACCTGGGTGGCTCAGTCAGTTGGGTGTCTGCCTTCGGCTTGGGTTGTGATCCTGGGGACCTGGGATCGAGCCCCGCCCCGGGCTCCCTGCTTAGTGGAGAGTCTGCTTCTGCCTCTCCCTCTGCCCCTCCCCCTGCTCATGCTCTCTCTCTGTCTCAAATAAATAAAATCTTTCAAAGAAGAAAATGTGGTTTACATATGTGTGTGTGTATATAATGGAATATTATTCAGCCATAACGAATGAAGTCTTGCTGTTTGCAATGACGCGGATGGAGCTAGAGTATTATGCTAAGGGAAGTAAGTCAGTCAGAGAAAGACAAATACCATATCATTTCACTCATGTGGAATTTAAGAAACAAAACAGATGAACATGGGGGGGAAAAGGAGACGCAAATCAGGAAACAGACTCTTAACTATAGAGAACAAACTGAAGGTTACTGAAGGGAAGGTGGGTGTTGGGATGAGTTAAATAGGTGATGTGTATTAAGAAGGGCACTTGTGATGAGCACTGGGTGTTGTAAGTGATGAATCACTAAATTCTACATCTGAAACATATTACACTGTATGTTAACTAACTGGAATTTAAATAAAATCTTGGGGAAAAAAAAGGTCTCCTGCCTTTTGTTTCAGGAAATTTGAGCTACTTACACTGGACTTTCTTCCCTACTATGGTAGTTATTAATGAATAAAATCTTTCTTTACCACCTGTAAGTAGCATCCTGCTTTGCTTTTCTTTGACAAGACCTAACTTTTTTCTGAGCACCGCTTGTATCAGTGTTATGAGTAAATGTAAATGAACACTAACCAAACAAAATTGTACTGTTGTAATTTGGGTAAGGGTGTCATTTAAATTCAGTAATTATATACATACAGAGATATGCGGTTATTGATCTTGTATTTTAAGTCTAAGGGGACAAATGTAATTAAATGCATTACTTGAGAGGAGAATAAGAGTATTGAAAACCTTGTATTTTGGTAAGTATGACAATTCCTGGAGCAGTGACTAAAAGAACTTACCAACTAGTAAAGGGAAAAATTGGAATAATAATAATTTTAAAAATCCAACATAAAGGAGAGAAAAAGGAAACATGCAACACAGAGTGAAATATAAAATGGCATATTTAAATCAAAATATTTCAGTAGCTACATTAAGTGTAAATGGTATAAATGCTGCTTTTAAGAGACAGATGTTACAGGTGGATTTAAAAGTCTTGCATAGGGGCGCCTGGATGGCTCAGTCGTTAAGCGTCTGCCTTCGGCTCAGGTCATGGTCACAGGGTCCTGGGATTGAGCCCCACATCGGGCTCCCTGCTCCGCGGGAAGCCTGCTTCTTCTCCTACTCCCCCTGCTTGTGTTCCCTCTCTCGCTGTCTCTCTCTCTCTGTCAAATAAATAAATAAATCTTAAAAAAAAAAATAAAAGTCTTGCATACAGGATCTTTCCACTGCCTTGTTCTGCCGCCTCTACCCACACAGGCCTAAGCCCTGTCTGCTCCGGCACTGAGATCCCACATTTTGGGCAGCACTGGGCCTTGCCTAGCAGAACATCATGCCTCCAGAGCTCCACTAAAGGCTCCTCAGGTCGGCAGATGGCTGAGTTCCAGTGGAAAGCATGGAACCTCTAAGGCCTCCGTGAAGTGTAGTCCAGTGCTCCAAGAATAAGGGGACAACCAGAGCTGGGTCATCAGTCCCTCTCTGCCACAAGACAGCCTGAAGCAAAGAACTCCCACCCAGCCTGAAGTGAAATGCTTCATAGGTTTCAGCAACTTGCCTATTCAAGCTCAGAAGAACATATTTCATGAAATGTTTAGTTGCAGCAGCATAGCCTTCTG